AACATAAAACAAACTGAAGAAATAATCAAGAAATGATAAACAACGAACAAGAAAAGAATCAAACATATACTGATTTCACATCCGAGAATATCAAACAAATTACGGACAGAAATGAAACTTAAACCAACTAATCGGAAATGAACAACGACGAACCCGAACGGAAACGGAAAACTCGGACAACAACCTCGACGTACCGGATCTCGACTCAACAAAAACCCACCTTCTCTTTTAACCTCGATGAACTCAGACTGGACCTCACCGAACGACGAACAACGACGGACTCAAACAAAACCAAACGAGACCTTGACAGAACTTCGCCGGACTTTAACCGCACTGCTTCGCTTCCTCCGTCTATCTCTCACTTTGTTTCAATGACCTCTTGTTGCTGCTCTATCCGTGTGTGTGTGTGTGGTCGTGGAAGCAGCAGCAGTGGGGCTGTGTGTGTGTGTGTTGAGCAGCTGTTTGACGAGAGAGGAGATGAAGCAGCAACAACTATGTGTGGTCGCTTGGGATAAGGAGATGAAGCAGCAGCAATGGCTGCTGGACATGGAGCTGATGGTAGTCGTTCATGGTTGAGCTGAGGGAGACAACGAAGAAGTAACCGGTCGTTTGGGCTGTTCGTTGGTTGAAGGAAGATGGACGACGGGGCAGTAGCTGCCATGGAGAAGAAGAAGAAGCAGCAGCGATAGTGGTTTGGTCGTGAGCTAGGCTGGTCGACGACGAGGAACGCAGCAGCACTGCTTCTCGTTAATGGCGGATGGGGGGTCGACTTGGGTGAAGCTGGACGTTGGGTTTCAATGGCAGACGGGGAGGGGGTGTTGGACAGTGGTGAGCGGAGGAGGGGGGCTGTGGGATTTTGTGGCTTGAGGGGTCGTTTTGACGTGAGCATGGAGGTGACGGGGTCTGTGGGGTTTCGTGGGAGGGGTTGAACGAAGAAGATGAAGAGGGGAGGGGTGCATGGGTCCGGCGGCTAGGAGAAAGAGAAGGGGTCTTTAGGGTTTTTTGAGTAACAAATGAAACAAAAATGAGAGAAAGAGTGAGGGGGGTCGTGTGGTCAGATAGGGGGCGGTTGGGCTTGGGTCAAGGGTTTTGGGTTGGGTAGAGGTGTTTTGGGCCTAGGTTCAAAATTGAAGAAGAGGCCCAATTCCGATTTTCTTTATATTTTTTGCTCTCTTTTCTTTTACTTTCTAGTTAATAAAACTAAAATTCTAAATTAAGTTATAAACTTATCAAAAATACTAATTAATTCCTAGCAACAATTATCATACATAATTAAACACCAATTAAAACAAAATTGCACAATTTAACATTGAATGCTAAAAATGTAAACGATGCATATTTTTGCAATTTTCATTCTTGTAAAACAAACTTAATTACTTCTAATTGTAAACTTAAATCCTAAATGCAAATGCGATGTATTTTTGTATTTTTTATTAATTTAACAAATAAACATGCATGGACAAATACAAATAATTATTGAAAATGCCACAAAAATTCTCAAAATTCCACACAAAGGAAAATTGTTTTATTTTGAATTTTTTGGGAGTAATTCTCTCATAGGGCAAAAATCACGTGCTTACACACATTAATACGATAATAGAATCAGATAATGCTGAATTCTTTGAAACTATTTATCCGCAAAAAAAGCAAAGTGAAGTGACCTGCCAAAAGTCAAAACGACCTCGGGAGGAAATAACAGATGGTATGCCTAATGAAAAAAATCCAAGAAGAAGTAAACGTCAAAGGATATCTACTTTATTCGGTCCAGATTTTCTGACTTTTCTGTTAGAAAATGAGCCTCGTACCTTTAAGGAAGCAATGTCTTCCTCAGAAGCACAATATTGGAAAGAAGCTGTCAATAGTGAAATAGAATCCATATTGAGCAACCATACCTGGGAATTGGTTGATCTTCCTCCAGGTAACAAAACGTTGGGTTCTAAATGGATTTTCAAGAAGAAAATGAAGGACGATGGTACTATTGACAAATACAAGGCAAGACTTGTTGTCAAAGGATTTAGACAACGAGAAGGTCTTGACTATTTTGACACATACTCGCCGGTAACAAGAATTACATCTATTCGGATGCTAATAGCGTTAGCCGCCTTGTATGGTCTTCAAATCCATCAAATGGATGTAAAAACAGCCTTCTTAAATGGTGATCTTGAGGAAGAAATTTACATGAACCAACCTGAAGGGTTTGTGGTTCCGGGAAAAGAAAAGAAGGTGTGTAGACTTGTCAAGTCCCTTTATGGACTAAAACAAACACCCAAGCAATGGCATGCGAAATTTGACCAAACAATATTGTCAAATGGTTTTAAGATTAATGAATGTGATAAATGTGTTTACATTAAGAACGTTCCAAATCATATAGTCATTGTTTGCTTATATGTTGATGATATGCTAATAATGAGCAAAGACATTGCCGACATTCAAGCTACTAAACGTATGCTTGCTAGTAAGTTTGATATGAAAGACTTAGGAGTTGCCGATGTAATTCTAGGAATTAAAATCCAGAGGACTCCTCAAGGTCTAGCTTTGTCTCAGTCACATTACGTGAAAATGGTACTGGAAAAATTCAAACACTTGGAATTTAGAAGTGCAAGAACTCCAATTGACTTAAACCATCATCTTATAAAGAATAAAGGTGAAAGTACATCTCAATTGGAGTATGCTCATGTGTTGGGAAGCTTAATGTACATCATGAACTGTACATGACCTGATATAGCTTGTGCAATAAGTAAACTTAGTCGATTCACAAGTAATCCCAACAAACATCACTGGGTGGCAATGAAACAAGTTCTGGGATACTTGGAATATACCCAAGACTACGCCTTGCACTACAATAAATATCCTGCGGTTATCGAAGGATATAGTGATGCAAATTGTATAACCGGCTCAACAGAAACAAAGTCTACAAGTGGATATGTTTTTACTATTGGTGGAGGAGCAGTATCTTGGAAATCTTCCAAACAGACGTGTATCGATCGTTCTACAATGGAATCAGAGTTTATAGCTTTGGATAAAGCCGGTGAAGAAGGTGAATGGCTTCGAAATTTCTTAGAAGACATTCCGTTCTGGCCAAAGCCTTTGGCTCCTATTTGCATACATTGTGATAGTGAGGCTGCCATAGGACGAGCAGGGA